GTGGTTGAGTATCAGATTGTTCCATCTCATTTCCCTTTGGGGTTGCTGTAGGTGATCCAGAAGTCTGTTTTTGAGGCTTGTTTACATGTCCTCTCATTTCCACGGGAGGGGGTGCTTCTGGCACCCATGCGGCTCATCTTCTCTGCCCTAGGAGCTTGGGATGGCAGCGGGGTAGCTTCCTTCTGGGTGCTGGGACTGGCTGAGGTTCTCTGCCCTAGGAGCCTGGGATGGTGGTGGTGGGGCTTCCTTCCAGTTGCTGGGACCGGCTGAGCTTCTCTGATTTTTTGTATTCTTGATAACAGTCATTCTGAGTGAAGTGAGATGGAATCTCAATGTAGTTTATATTTGCATTTTTCTGATGGCTAAAAATGTTAAACTTTTTTTCATATAATTATTGACCATTTGTAATTTTCTTTTGAGAAGTGTCTGTTTAGTTTATTTGCCTATTTATTGAGTTACCTGTGCTTTTGGTGTTAAATATTTTGAGTTTTTTATATACTCTGGATATTAACCCTTTGTTGGAAGAATAGCCAGCCAATATTTTCTCTCATTTTGTAAGCTGGTAATTGTTTCATTTCCTGTTCAATATGCTATGATTTATATCTAGATGTCTCCCAAAGCCTCATGTGCTCATTGGTGGAACTTTTGGAAGGTGACTGGATCATGTGTGTGATACTAGATTAGTTCACTGTTTGGTTTAACATAGTTCAGAGTGTGGAGGATGGATTTACTGAAAAGAGAAGACCCATCCTGGATGTGGATGGCACCAACCAATAAGTTTGCAGCCTGGATGGAATGAAAAGGGAAGAAAAACGGAAGGATTGCTGCTTCCTGCCTGCCTTGTCAAAAGTTCTTTCTCCTCTGCCATGCCTCTTTGCCATGCCTCCCTGCCTTGGAGCCAGATGGACTAAAACCTCTATAAATCATGAGCCAAAATAAACCTCTCTTCCTTTAATATGTTTGTGTTGAGTATTTTGCCCCAGTATTGCAGATAGGTAACTTAATTAGATATCTTATAGGCAGTTAGACAGGGCCAGCCCATGAGGAGCCAACATGGAGGACAGTGAAGGAGCCAACATGGAGGACAATCAAGACACATTCACCTGAAGGCCAGAATTGTAAAAGGAGAGGAACTATTATATCCTTGTGCTTCCCCTGGGGATATATACCAGTGATTGATATTCTAAATAGGTATCAGTCCCCTGAGGGGAGAGCATGGTCTTAACCCAGCCTCTCCAGGAAATATCCCTGATCCACCCTTACTGAAAATCCTGGTATGCTGGCTCTGTGACTTACTCCCTCATTTGAACCCCCCTCATTTAATCAATATTACCTGTGTGACTATACTTGTAATCTTATGCTTGGTCATGGTTTTGCCCCACCTCATGCCCACCTTGTAATTTTCCATTGGGTCTTAACAGTTTTGTCCCACCTTGACCCCGCCTCACCTCATGGCTTTGTCCCATAAAACATCTTTGAGAGTTGGGTAAGTGGGCAACCCACTTTCCAGTCCCCCTTATGTCTCTCTTAGAAGCTTTCTTTCTCTCACTAAATCTTTCCTACTCTTAACCTCTGTTGTTCCTACAATTCATTCTTTGATTTTAGAGAACACGAACTCGCATTTTGGATATCTAGTAGGTTTGGAAGTTTCATCTCTTCCCCTTGTATCACCAGCAATGAGAAAATAACTAAGACACAACATTTCTTCATTTGATCCAATCCCATTTGCAGTCCTATTCAGGAATTTGTTGCCTATCTTGTTCATATTTTGACACGTTTTCCCCCAATAATTTCAAAACTGTAACTCTTACATTTAGGTCTTTAATTTATTTTGACTTTATTTTGTACAGGGGGAGAGATAGAGATGTAGTTTCAAATCTTCTATTTAAGGATATCCAGTTTCCCCAGCACCATTTGTTAAAGTGATTGTTTTTTCTCCAACATATATTGTTGGCATCTTTGTTGAGAGTCAGAGGCTGTTGCTCTATGGATTTATTTCTGGATCCTCTATTCAATTCCTTTGGTCTGTTTTTATTTTTATTCTAATATTGTACCAGTTTTGTTACCATGGCTCTATAGGATATTTTTGAAATCGAGTGATGATGCTTCCAGTATTACTATCTTTTGCTTTGGCTATTCAGGAACTTTTTGTTTCCATGTATATTTTAAGATCCTTCTTTTCCTAGTGCTATAAAGAATGACATTGATATGTAGATGGAGATTGCATTGAATCTATAAATTTTGGTAGTATGACTAGTTTAATAAAATTGCTTCTCCCAATGCATGAACATAAGAGGTTATTTCTTCTTCTAGTATCTTCTTCAGTTTCTTTCTTCAGTGTTTTATAATTTTCATTGCAGGCACAGGTACATGGAGATGCCCCATGGTAGCCACACTTGCAGTCCAAAGTATCAACTTGCACCAGGAGTTTGAGCTTCTAAGTTCATGGCTGCTGCCAAGCTAGAGTTTAATGGATGGTAGAGGAAAAGGCATTAGGATAGAGTATCCATCCTTTCCAAAAGAGAGGTCAAGGGCTGGCGATTTAGCTCAGTGGTTCCACCACCTGCCTCTCAAGCTAAGGACCCGAGTTCAATCCCCAGTACCAAAAAAAAAAAAAAAGCCAAAACAAAAGAGAGGTCAAGGGCCAGGGATTTAGCTCAATGGCACCGTGTCTGCTTGCAAGCACAAGGTCCTGAGTTCGATCCCTGGTACTGGGGGAAAAAGAGAGAGAGAAAGGACAAAAGAGAGGTCAAGGCAGTCTTAAAGAGATGGGATTCTGTCATTAACAGTTGAATAGGCAACTATTACAGAAAAGCACCTTGAATTATCCCCAAGACCAAAGAAGGCAACTACCACATATGAGTATCACGAGTTTACAGATACAGCATCCAGCTGCAGTAGAAGTGATCTGTCAAATGAAGATAAGACACTAAATCCCAGAGAGATTATAGACCTGGCTCTAGGATAGCCAGATTTTATAAAATGAATATTTTATGCCTAGAAGATGGGGCCAGCGAAGGTAAATTGCTGTTAAAACTTTGGCTAGGACTTCTAAGAAATGTTTGAATTCCATTTTCTGTCTCTTTAGTGCCAAAGCCAGTTCTCCTAATGTTCACATAATGTTGCCTTCTTGCAAGCTTGTTTTTTGTTTGTTTGTTTGTTTTGTGGTACCAGGGATCGAACTCGGGACCTTGCACTTAGGAGGCAGACAGCAGAAACACTGAGCTAAATCCCCAGCCCACAAGCTTGTTTTTAGTAGGTAATAATATGACAACCAATGTATGGTAGAAAAATAACATTACCAAGTCTCCATGCTGGTGGCATTTTATGTCCTATCATGTTTTAGACAATTAAGACAGTTTCTCAACCTTAGCACCAGGTAATCTTTTGCTGTGGAGAGAACTTCTTGTGCATCCTGTGGGGGATATTTTGCAGCATTCCTGGGCTCTTCCTGCTGGATCACAGTAGCCCCGCCACCACCACCAAGCCCTGGTTTTAACAACTAAAAGGTGTTGTGAGAAGTCTCCTGAAAATCACTTCCAGTTGATAACCACTGACACATTATTATGAAAATTATGTCATTTTACAAATTTTAAAATATATAGTTCTCGAGTATTTAAAAGTTTTAATACTTTCAAAATAAATTTGTGACTTTTACCTCCATTAGTTCATGTTGCTTAGTCAAGGTTAGGTTTGGACAGACAGCCTCCCTAGAAAGCAGTTAAGTTCCTTTGACCACTTTGTATTCCATTTTGGTAACTACCACTGACATTTTAGAGGTACTGGGTGAAGTATATTTTAAATTTATACAGAAGTTGATGATGCTTACGTCCTTAATTCAGCCATATTAATTGAAATTCGTTGTGATATAACTCTTGGTTTTTCTTTACATTTCAATACTAAAAATTATATGGTTTTTATGGTGAATAGTATGGCATATGAATTATGTCTCATTAATGCTGGTATCTTATTTATTTATTTTTAATTTTTTTTAAGACAGGGTCTTGCTATATAGTTTGTGCTTAACAACCTACTTGTTAAATGACTGTTTGGACTATTAACCTGCTGCTTGGATTTATGAACCACTGCTTAGAATTACAACTGGCAATCAGTTAGGATGCAGGAATGTGAACAGCAGTGCTGCCTTAGGTGGCTTCTTCTACAGTGCAGTATTGTAAGTTTTGCTGCTTGTACAATACAGTACAGTACTGTAGTTTTATGTTCTATTATACATTACAGTACTGCATATAAGTTATTCAAATAAAGGCAAAGTTATCAAATTGAAGTTTCCTGACCATTTCTTTGTTGTGAATATAATAATGTACACACTATATACAATTCCTCATTTAGTAACCAATTCAATTAACAATCTAGTCACAGGAATGAAATAAGGAATGCCTGTATGTAATCCTGTCTTTGGCATGTAGGGTAATTTGACTCTCTCCTTTAATATTTGTAGCACTTTTATTTCTTTCTCTGGCCTGATTGCTCTGGCTAACATTTCCAGTACTATAATGAACAGGAGTGGTGAGGGTGGATACCCTTATCTTGTTCCTGCTTTTAGAGAAAATATGTTCAGTTTTTCCATTCAGTACAATGTTGTAGGAGGTAGATTTCTGGAGAGAAGTATTTGTCTGGTTGGTAGCTGGTGACTGTCCATTGTTCCCCAGGGTGGATAGAACCCTTCCCCAGTGAGGTGAGGCAATTGACCCTCAGCTGACGTTAGAGGGAAGGTATGAACAATACTAGGTGTGGTCATTTCCTAGCATCACAAAGTACCACAAACTGGGTGGCTCAAAACAACAGAAATGTATTCTCTGACCATCCTGGAGGCTGGAGGTCTGAGATAGGTGTCATCAGAGCCCTGCTCCCTCTGAGGGCTCTAGGGAAAGATCCTTTGCCACATCTTCCTAGTTTCTGGTGGTTCCTGAGTGTTCCTTGACTGAGTCAACATAATTACAATCTCTGCCCACATCTAGTACTGTGTCTCTGCTTTCTCTTAAGGACACCAGTCATGGAATTAAGGGCCCACTCTGATCCAGCATGACCTTATAACTGGTTACATCTGCAAAGACCCTATTTCCAAATAAGATCAGATTCATAGGTACTCAGATGTATTAGGACTTCAGCATATCTTGATGGGGACACAATTCAACCCTAACATGAGCATGCAGACAAGTTGCCTGCTATGGTGGAGCTGGGATTCTGGCAGGTTACATCTGTAAAAATACTTTTGGGTGCAGACAAGAACTCCATCTGAAACCTACTTTTAAATCAAAACCATGTTATCTCACATAACAAAAAGTCTAGGGCAGGAAAGATTCCAAGCATATTGCATCTGGAAACTCATCTCTATGTGCCTTGGCTCTGCTTTTTCCAGGAGGCTCCTCCTTCTATTAGCTTCCCTCACTGTCCAAACAAAGGTCTCCATCAGCAGCTGCAGTGATATACAGTATTTCCTCTTGTTAGTGGAAAAGAAGGGCTATGCCAATCGTGTAATAAGAAAGCACTTTTCTTGGCTCTTCCTGCAACAATCTCTGGACATCCAGCCATGGCTTCTCACCCTTGGAACCGGGGCAAGGGGAGGAGTTGGGGGTTAGGAGGTACACTGTCTCCTTCCCCTAGAGCACAGGCTGGAGTGAGGAGTGCATTAGCCCCAGCTGCCTTACCAAAGTACCACATACCTGGTGGAATAAATAACAAATTTGTTCTTTCACAGTTCTGTGGCCTAAAAGTCTGAGATCAAGGTATGAACAGGGCTGGTTTCTTCTGAGGCCTCTCCTTGGCTTGTAAATGGTTGCCTTCTCTTCTCTGTGTCTTTACGTGATCTTTCCTTCTATGTGATTGTGACCTAATCTCTTCTTTTTGGGACGCTAAGTATCCCAATGTTAGGGCCCATGCTAGTGACATCATTGTAATTAATTACTTCTTTAAAGAGCCTGTCTCCACACACAGACACATTCTGAGGTCCTGGGAGTTAAGACTTCCACAAATGAAATTGGTAGTGTGTGTGTTCAGCCTATTAGGAAGGAAGATGGTGGAAGGAGGGTGGTCTTTCAGAAGTGGAAAACAGAAATGAATCCTGGATGGGCAGCCAACAGAGTCCAGGATATGGGGAGAGATTTGTATATGATAATTTCAGGTAAGAAAAAGTGCTTTTAAAGAAAATAAAACAAGGTAAGGTAATTTAGATTAGAGGGGGTAAGCAGCATTGGCAAGGGTGGTTGCAGAGGCCTCTATGAAAAAGAATACCCCCCACCAAAAAGAATCAGGGTCAAGAACTGTGGAATAGGATGCTGTTATTTATCATGTCTATATATATTTTTTTGGTACCTGGGATTGAACTCAGGACCCTGCACTTGCAAGACAGGCAGCAGAACCATGAGCTAAATCCCCAGCTCTCATGTCTATATTTTTAAATGGAAGAGTAAAAGGAAAAAAATTACTTATTTGGGTGGAGGAAAGAGTGGAAAGGATTGGGCTAGAAGATAGATTTCTCTGAATAAACTTTATTTTGTTGATTTGACTTTGGAACTATGTAAATCATTTACTTAATTATAAAACAAAATTTAAATTATAATGAATTTCTAAAAATTTAGCAAAATAAAGTGAAGCTATCCTGATTATAGTTTGAGGAATGATCAGAGAGAGAGGAACTATTTCAAGCAATTTTGAAAAAGCAAGTTGACTGTATATTCCTAATGGCATAAACTTGAGGACAAAAAGAATTACATAACAAGCCAAGTGCAGGGTAGGCCTGTAATCCCACCACTCTGGGAGGCTGAGGCAGAGGCTCACAAGTTCAAGCTCAGCTTGGGCAATTTAGAATTTAGTAAGACTCTGTCTCAAAATAAAAATTAAAAAGGGCTCAAGATGTAGCTCAGTGTGAAGGCCCTGGGTTCAATTCACAGTGCTGGAAAAAACAACAGCAATGAAAGAAACAACTTTTTAGTAAAAATTTTTTACAGTAGTGTTGGCATTGTTATTTGGAGGATTTTTTTAAATGCATGATTATTTTGTTGATGTTGAGAGAATTGTCAGAATGAGAAAAAGGAAAGCAGATGCAGATCAATGAAGTTATGGTAAAAACCATAAAACCAAAAACTGTACTTATGAACTGAATTGGAAGAATCAACATAAAGTCATGTAATGCTTTATCTTTTTAAAAAAATAGTAATAAATTTATTTGCTAGTTGTATCCATGAAAGGCAAGAAACAATGACCTAACAACCAACCATCCCGGTGAGCACTCTAGTATGGAGATTTTTTTTTTTTTTTTGAGACAAGATTTCACTTTGTAGTTCAGGTCGGCCTTGAACTCATGGTGATCTTTCTGACTCACCCTCCCGAATGCTGGAATTACAGGCCTATACCACCACTCTTTGGGAGATCTTAATCTCCACCATTTCCTACTTTCCCTACTAGAAGGAACCAAAGATTCTTGGGAAGAAATGGCTGGACAGAATATACATAAGATGTGCTTGAAACACCTTGTCAGACAAAATAATTAGGAGACTAGCAAGACTAGTAGAGTCAGGTCCAAAGGAATGAGCCAATTTGAAGCAGCTTCCAGGGGTTAAAGATAGCAACAATAAGAACAACTGCAATGGCTGGAAACACACATCACATGTGTATCAACCCCGAGTCCTCAATGTACTCAAAAAAATAAAAAGCAACCCTCACTGGTCACCTTGGAAAGATGGATACCAAGGAAACACCTCATTTTTAAAACTGGAAAATAAAGAGAACCAGAGAAAACATTAATTTATCTTTCCTTTCTTATACAAACAAAATCTCAAGGTAGCCAAATAATTGGTGAAAGGACTTTTCTTTTTATAAAGTATAGCAGCTAATAAATGAAAAAACCCAATAGCTCTACAATGTTAATCACAACCACTAAAGAAATAATGGTTCTAAGACCAGGGATGTAGCTCAGCAGCACTGCACCTGCCCAGCAAGCCCAACGTCCTGAGTTTGATCCCCGCTACTGGAAAAAAAAAAAAAAAAAAGTGTAATGGATGTACCTTAGGACAAAGGCTCTATATTCAATCCCCAGTACTGAAAAAAAAAAAAAAAAGAAGTAATAGTTCTATGCAATAATCATCAGGGGCTAACAATACCAGGAAAGAGATACAACTAGATATTATTTGCCTCCTCCAGAGGGATCTATCACCACCAATAATGTGGTCTTGCCAAAATAAAGCTAACTTGAACCTAAGTAAATCTCTAGATATAACTACTGATTTATAAGAAATATAGAAGACAGAGGAACATGTTAACAAATACCAGAGATGCACTCAGGAATATCCAGACTGTGAGAATTTTTCCAGAGTAAACTACCCAATATTCCATCTCTAGTACGTTTCTAGGTTAGTCTACTTTACAGTGATGTGTGACAACCACTGCTTAAAACTGAGATTAAAAGAGACTTGCAAGGCCCTTCATCAGATTACAATGTATGGGCAAAATTCAAGCAGACAGACAAAAAAATCAAGTCAGGGAAATTTGAACAATGACTAAATACTTGAAAGTATTGATGAATCTTTTTTTTTTAGGTATGAATGTTATTGAGGTTATGTTTTTGTAAAAAGTCCTAGGAGACACATGCTGAAATCTTCACAGAGGAAATGATAGGATGTCCTGTATCTGTTTCAACACCATCATAAGGTGGGTGAGAACACATGAAAGATTGCTCGTATGTTATTGGCGAGGGTGGTGACTCGTGCAGGGGTTTCATTATACTATCTACTTTTCTACATGTCTGTGAATGTACATAATAAAATGTTTTAAAGCTCCTAATAATATGAAACCATATTTCCTGGAAAGAGTTATAAATTAATGCCTGACCCAGCACATACTGGAGCTATGAAAGGAAAAGATGTTAGCTTCCTTAGAAAAAAGCAAGGAGAGAGAGTACTGACATAGTGTGGATCTGAATGTTCTCCAAAGGGTCAGGCTTAAAGCCCCCGTCTCCAGCTTGGCACTATTGGGAGGTGGTGGGAATTTAAAGAGATGGGGCCTAATGGGAAGGTCTTAGGTCAAAGGGTGGTGCTCTCAAAGAGGACTGTGGGATCCTGATGTCTGTCTGTCACTGTCTCTCTCTCTCTCTCTCTCTCTCTCTCTCTCTCTCTCTCTCTCTCTCTCTGTCTCTCTCTCATTCCCAGCCATGAGGTAAACAGACTTTGCTCTGACACACTGGAGCCATGATATACTGTAGAGTCTGGACTCAGTCCAATTTTTTTTTTTTTTTTTGGTACCAGGGATCGAACTCAGGATCTTGCGCTTGCAAGGCAGGCACTGGAACCAGTGAGCTAAGTTCCCAGCCCCTGAGCCATGATATACTCTCTTGCTAAGACCCAAAGAAATAGAGCCAATGGATCATGGACTGCAACGTTGCAAAGCTGGGAGCCAAAATAAACCTCTTCTCTTTATAAGTTGGTCATCTCAGGTATTTTGTTAGTAACAGACCACTGACTAACAGAAGTATAGATAACAAAATATAACCCAGAGGAGAAGGTCTCAGCTATGATCCATAAGAGGGGGTCCCAAGCAGTCAGGCATTTTTTTTTTTGGTGATATGGGGGCTGGGGTGTCAGTGTGTGATTTCACAAATGGGAAGTAGGTTTGATGATAACAGACCTTGGTGATGAAAGCTGTTGTCTTAGATTGGTCCAGTTTGGCATCAAAGTTATCACATATCAGCTCAGATGGGGCACCTATTCTATAGACCTCCAAACTACTCCCCACATGCTAGGAGATGAGAGGTTTGTCCCTCCCAGCCACCCCCATCCCAAGCAGGAAGGAAGAGTCCATCACGGTGACATCTCACTTTCAGAAACATGGCCAAGCCCTTGGACCCTCCCACCTGGTGGTCTGCACAATGGATCAGGTGGCATGCAGCCTGTGACTCACCAAACATAATAATGTGGATATTTTAATAAGTCTTGTAGCAACCCATAAAGAGCAGGTTTGAAGACCCTTGTTCTATTGTTAGATCACAGCTGAGCCCAGGGAAAGAAAAAATTTGAAAAACAACCCTTGACCATGTCTCCTTTCTCCCACAAAACAGGACAAGGATAAACCATCCTGGACACCATCTTCATATGACATTTGATCACTCAACTGGTGACACACTTCCTTCCCTCCACCTCATACCAGGGCAAAAATGAGGCATTTTTAAATAAAGTATGTGAGGAAATCTCCCCAGTAGATTAATGTGTATTTGAGTATGAAGATTCCCTCACAATGAAGCCAGCTGTGAAGTTTTAACGTGAATAGTCCCTAATTCCACCCCATTCTCAGCTCTGACGAGTTTTCTTCTTTCAGTCGTCTGCTTCTGGCTTCTTCATCAGAAGAAAGTGGCCATGGGATCAATGGCAACTTGACCATTTTCCTAAACTCCCCATGGCCAGATCTCCCATGTGGCCAAGACAAATTCAGACTAGTGGCATAATCCCAAACATTACCTTTGTGCTCTCCTATTCATTTATTCTGGTTCATCCATCCCAAACTGAAAGAGAGCAGCAACGAACCCCTCTCGGAGGAACTGGGCTGTCTCCTGCTCAGTGAGAAGTCAGAAGGACAGGGAGGAGTGACCAGCTTTATTTCTTCACTTGTAATACCAGGTTATGTTCTTGAGATACAGTTTCCCAAAAGGGAAGTAATTCAGGCAGAATCTAAGTTTTCATGACAGTTCCTGCATCTGGAGGATGTGTGTGGCTCACAGGCCCTCCCATGGCTCTCTGTTCAGAAGGCTGGCAGGTGTGTCACAGAGGGGATGTGGACAAGAACCACATGCTTGGTATGGGAGGAAACTGCCTCCTACATAAGCACACAGAGGCATGACTAGACCCTCAGCATAGCTAAAAGCACTTCATAACAAGCCTTGGCTATAACAATGCAGAATGGCTGGCCATCATCTCAGGCACACATTCCCAATTCTCTCTCCCCAGCTAATTGAAACTCACAGTGCCACTCACACAGCATTCTGAAAAACCATGATGGCGGAAGTTTGGATTTCTGTGTCCCGCTGTGGCATGGGACAGTGTGGCATTGCCCTAGAAGCCTGGGCAAACGGGGGTGAGCAAGGACCAGGCAGAGGAGAAAGATGTCTGTCGAAGTCTGTGTCCTCAGCTGAGTCCTTGGGGAAGGGAAATCAGCCGAGATATCTGCACCCTTGTGCTCCCATGGCACTCTTAGAAGTCATACGGGGACACAAAAATGGTGACCTTGGACACATGGTTGGCCTGGAAAGAGCGGTCCAGGTATTCTGACATGTCAACGTCCACCTCCAGTGTCTGAGGCCCCTCCAGGGTCTGAACGAGAATCAGTTCCCCTGTCTGTCGGTCAGAACGCTGCATCACAAAGTGGCCACGGCTGTTTCCGCCCACAATCCCGAACCGCAGGCTGTTGGGCCCAGGTTGGCCAGGGGCTGAGGCTGTGGCCATGCGGAAGAGTGTGATTGGTGTCTTCAGGTTGGAGGGCAGAGAGAGGTAATGGAAGGAGATGGTCTTGGGTGTATTTCGGCAGGGTCTGCTGTCCATGGGGCAGGGGTTTCGCTCACACTGGCTGGAGCAGAGGCCAAAGGGAAGCTGTCAGATTTTCAGAACCTCCAGAGGGGCTGCCCCATCTGCCCTCTTGCAGTGGCCACCTGAGTGACCCTCCCCAGACATGGGTCCCTACCCAGGAGCTCTGGAGCTGCAATGAGTGTGGCTGGAGTTAGGCACAGCTAAGGAAGAAGTGCTGCTTCTGGTCCTGGGGGCCCTCCCAACCCACATTTGTGTGGGAATGTGTGTGTGCACATCCAAATGCATATATGTGTATATGTTCTGCTACTATAGTTTGTACAGAAAACCAAAAGCCTGGTGAGTTAAATAATTAAAAGTATGTTGGTGTTTGAGCCAGGTGCTCTTTCTGCAGGTGCTAAGACCTCTCTCCAGCAGCTAGCTTCCAACATCTGCAATGTGTCCCCCATATGGTGAACTTTCCAAACTCAGCAACATTAATTTTTAAGCAGGAAGCCCTGTCTTCCTTAACCATTTGGAATCAGGGTATTATGCAAACAGCTCTGATATTTGTCTACCTTCTTTCTAGTAAATAAAAGTACTACAATTTTGGCTATTTGGTGATTCTGCATTATCATGATTATGCAGATCAAATATCACATCTGGCCACTAATCTAATGTCCCCAGAGGCTACTACAGCTAGGTTTGTTGTCCCTTCATTAAGTGACTCCTTGAGGAAGGTTCCAGGTCTTCAGTCTCTCTAATAACTGCCACTCTTTCGTACCACAGACTTTCTTGCTGCTTCTAATCTGCCTTAATCATAACAACAACTTAAATTACTACTTATTTATGAAATCAGTTCTCTTCATTTTAGAGACATCTCCAAGGTCTTAGGATCTCTTTTTGAGAAATGAGTATACGTGCCTTATGTGAGTTGTAGTTATTCCCCTTTAAAACCACCTCTAAACTTCTAAAACAACAACTTTATTTACTAAGTGTGGAGCTTACCAGATATCAAACCTTCTAGTACCACTGGAAAAGCAGAGGAATGTAATGTACCATGACCAAAGTCTGTGCCACCCTGGGATGGCTGCAATCCCTTTATCCTCTGGTGGCAGGGAGTACTTGGTACATCACTCTCACTGAGGCAAACTAGGTTCTTACTGCACCAGCACAGCAATGCATTAAGTGCAACCAATCAAGGGCAATGGAAGCTTGGAGAAGCTGGATACCCAGCTACTGGCCCCTCTTCTTTCCAATGACATAATTATTACCCTCCCAGAGAGCCTCCAGGGAGATTCCAGCCCAGCCACACCGGGACCTGGGTGAGGGTGCCCCAGCTGTACTCACAAGGGAGAGGTCTTCACATAGCTCATGTTGCCATTGCCCTCGGGGCACTCGGGGCTGACGCACTGGAAGCCACCCCGGGTGTTGATGCACATGGTCCCCCGGGGGCACACCTGCTGCAGGCCAGCACATTCATCCACATCTGAAACACCGGACACAAGATGTGGGTGAACAGCCCCCCCCCCCAGCTTTCCCCCATCACCAAACCACATGAAAGGCCTGGAGAGGCACAAGAATGCAGCGATCCATGCACTGGTTCTTAAAGCAGGAACTGTCTTGCTTGATCATGTGGAATGGAGGTCTTCGGAAGTGCTGCAGAGCCGTGCAGGAGAATGCCTCTCCGGGATCCCGACCTTCCATGGGGTCTGACAGGTGACAGCAGCAGGTGACCAGGTGTGTAGGTGCCCTGCGGCCCCTGCCTCTGAGGCCTTCTCACTCACCCTCGCAACTCTTCCCGTCCGCCAGGGTCTGGTACCCGCTGGGGCAGGAGCAGCGGTAGGAGCCTGGGGTATTCACGCACGCGTGTATGCAGAGTCGGGGGCGCCCCTCCTGCCCATACAGCTCACACTCGTTTACGTCTGGGGAAGGAAGTAACGCCGTGACTCAGAGTGGTGCAGCCCAGTGGACCGGCAACGGTCCGAGGCGGCTGGGGTCTCTGGAGCTGTGGCTGCGCCGCTGGGCCTGGCGGGAGGCCTGGAAGGGGATCTGGGGACACCCCTTTCTCCCCTGCCGAGGGCCCAGAGGACCGTCAGGAGGAGGGGGAGGAAAGGGGTGCGACAGACCCCAGAGGGCGCCTCGGCTGACTGGGAAGACCCTGCAGAGGCACAAATCGGGATCTTGGTCCTGAGAGAAGTTCGCAAACCCATACCAAGTCCCCTCATCTTTGGGGACGGAGTAGGAGGGTCTCGCTTCTGCTACTGTAGAATGAACCTGCTGGCACCAACCGACCAAATCTCAGGTTCGAACTTCTGGTTTGGGTTGGTTTGGGGAGGAACTTCGGTCATCAGGAGAGCTTGGCAAAGGTGGGCTGGTCAGGAAAGCTGAGAGGAGTGAACGAGTGCAAGCCCCTGCACAAGTCCAGGGCCAGTCTGCCTGTCCCTGTCACCCGCCGGGATAGATTTGGAACAGGGGCCAGGGCTCGGGAGCTGGGGCGAGCCTCGGACTAGCGCTTTAGGAGACCACACCCATCCGTCCGAGCCTCGGGCCCCGCCTACCCTGGCACCAGCCGTCCCCGGTCGCCGCGCTGCTCAGGTGGAATCCGGCCTCACAGCTACAGTGCTTCGCCCGCTCCACCTGCGCGCAGCGGGGCGCGCGGCTAAAGGCGGGGTCGCCAGCCACGCCGCCCTCAGGGGCCGCTGCGGGAGGAAGACACGCTCGTTGCGCGCCCTGGGCCACCTACCGGGCCCCGCTCCGGGGAGGCACCGGGAGGAGAACCGGGACGGACCCGGCCAATGCTCAGAGAGCCGACTCTCCTGGAGCAGGGAGAGGAGAGACAATGAATCACAGACGGGATGGGGACCCAGGACGTGGAGGCCCCGGAAGGCTGCGGTGTATGGAAAATAGGCTGTCCAGTGTGGAAAGTTTGCATTTCATTTAAAAACGCTTAAACGAAACCCCCGCGAGGTGGCCCTCCCACCAGGATTTTCTGCCCAAAAAGTAGACACATTTGAATTCGACATCCCCCCACCCCACCCCAGGTACTAGGGATTGAACCCAGGGTCTTCACACTGAGCTACATCCCCACCCCATTTTAATTTTTGTGGCAGAATCTCGCTAAATTGCCCGGATCAGGCTCGAGTTTGCCTCAGCCTCCCGCAGTGCTAGAATCCTAGGCATGCGCCACTACACCCGATGTTTTCCCTCCACAGATTCCTTATATTGGATTTTTATGCCACGTGCAAAACCAGCTACTGTGTAACTCAAACCTCTACCTGAGTCATTGCCGAGACTCACTGATCAAGTACCTGTTTATCTAGCTGTTGAAACGCTATGGATGACATCAGTAGCTGCTAACTGTGCATGGCGTGATGGAAACATTTGCAAGTAGTGTGATCTTGTACCCAGAAGAAATGCTGCTAAGGGCCGGGGATTTAGCTCAGTGGTTTCGCCACCTGCTGCGCAAGCGCAAGGACCCGAGTTTGACCCGAGTTCGATCCCCGGTACCAAAAAAAAAGAAATGCTGCTCAGGTAAAGGTGGCCACAGTGCACTTTCTCTGGGAATTTGGGCCAAATTCCCCTCCGGAAGCTGTTACCTTGGGAGTCAGTCCTGCCACTCATGTTTTCTTCCATAAGAAGGATCAGAATTCTGGGTACACTGAAGAGCTAAGCTCTGCCAAGCGGTCACTTTAGGGAGCCAGAGAGATCAATGCATGGACCCAGAGAGGAAAACCCGATGTGTCTGAGGGGCACTGAGCTTCTGCCATGTCCGCATTTGGTAATCCATGACTTGGGTCCTCACCTCCCCAGTGAGGGACGTCCTCCCCCTGCTCCACAGTGGCTACTTACCAGTCTGGGCCTGATGCTGACAGCGGCCCCCAGTCCTTCCTGGGGGGCAGAGGCATCTGAACTGGTTGGGCCCTTCTACACACGTCCCACCATGTTGACAAGGATGGCTGGTGCACTCGCTGATCTCTGGGATAGAAAGATTTCCAGACACAACCATGTGAGTTCTGATTCTAAAGCAAATAGAAACCAAGGGTAGACTTTCCACCTCTCCACCCTGTTCAAGAGCTGCAAGGGAGCAGATGGGGATGTGAGGCAGCTCACTGCTAGTCTAGACAGCAGGCCCTGTGCCTGATGCATGCTGTGTCCTGAGCTCTGTGCGCAAGGAGCTGGCCTGGCACTCCACCATCCCCCACCCAAGGGCACCAGGTTCTTATTTGCAAGTTGTGGTGTGGACAGCCAGAGCTATCTGCCCATGCTGCCCATACGTCTGGCTTTCTGGCCTCTATCAGCCAGCATCTAGGTAGAACCCCTTCTAAATAGGAGCAGAACTCAGGGGTGATGTAAAGTAGAGGGACGCTCCACTGGTGTGTCCAGGGATGGGGGAAAGCAATTCTCCAAATTCACATCTAGAGGACCCATTGGAAGGGGTTGGTTGGCATTTTCTTAACATCAGTAAGGGAACTGTTCATTGCTCATACACAGCAGTTCTGTGGGCAAGCTATACGTAGATAGAGGTGCATTATTTATTTGGTTAGCTTCTTAAAACAGGGTTTGAACTCAGTGATTCTCCTGCCTCAACCTCCTGAGTGCTGGGCTTACTGGCATGCACCATCATACCCAGTTTCCCAGATTTCAAAGGCTCAATTTTTTTTCTGAGTGCTAAGCTTACAAGTGTTTTTCTTTGCTTATTTAAGATGTTTTATATTCTTCCATTTTTCCACAACAAACATTTACAAATGGTTTTATTAGAAAAACATTATTTCTGAAAACTCTGAGGCTGTGAACTTGCTATGGATTCCCAGATCTGCTTTAGTGCACAAGCACTTGCCATTTCCACAAGAAAGAGAAGATTCATGAGCTCACAGTCTTGGCTGCAGTGCCAGGGGATTGAAGCTTGAAACTACCTCCTGGGTAGCACCGGGGTAGCTCCTGAGAGGTGGAAGCAGGTGCTTTGCTCTCCATGAGAAGCCCAGCCTCATTTTGAGTGGATGGAAAGGGCCTTTGGCTTCACTGAAGTCTTCTGTGCCTGCAGCATTATGTGGCCCATTGCAGGGTTTCTATTTGTCTGTAACGACCCAGGTGGTCCAGGGAGGCTGCCAGCCCAGGGAAAGATCCCTGTTTGTTTCTTCCCTCTGCCACTCCATGTTCACATGACTGGTTTCCAGGACCTTGTCTACAGCCACACAGAGCCCTGTGTGTATGCATCCAGCTGCATGGTTGCTCAGCAGCCTCATCCAAAAGTTGGCAGATACAAGGCTGTGAAGTTGCAAACAGGGAACCAGAAAGCTCAGACACTGGTATCTTTCAGCTTGATCCCAGCGGGCTAGTACCATGGTCTCTCCTCTGGGGACCTCTGGGGAAGACCAGAGCCTGCACCTGTACCCTGCAGGTGGGGCTGGGCGTCATGGACTGGGCAGGAATAAGCACAGCACCCGGGATGGGGTTCTTGGTCTCTCTGTGGATGCACCCAGGCATTCATCCCTCAGTGTGCTCCATGAAGACTCCATCTGTCTTATCTTGATGGGCAGCCAAGGCACTTAGCAGCCCAAGGCCCAGTCTGGCGCCAGGCCTGTGTCCAGATCCAAGGACAGTTATCATTGCAGTCATGTGTGCCCCAGCTGTGGCATTTAGTTAGTGCACGGTGACGTCAGAGCTGTGAAGAGGGCAATGCAGAGGTTGCCAGAGGGGCTGACGGCCAAGGTATAGCCAAAAATCTGGTTTTAATTAACTGTGTCCTGAGCACTTCCTGTTCCCATGAAACCCAGCTTAGTGTTTTATATGCATGAGCTGATTCCCCGCCTCTAATTCCTTCCTGGGTTCTTTTATCTTGTTTCACATTTTCTATTTCTCCACCTAACTTCTGAGGTTTTCTCACTTCCATGAATGCTGTTGTTTTATATTTTTTATCTTAAGTTTTTCTTTTAGCTTGTTTTGAAATATTAGATCTGCTCTGTGGACATGTTTCTCTGGCATTTCTTCAGTGTTTGTAGAGACTTTATTCTCTTTTGCCCTATACTAGTTTTTATGGGATTTGACAGAAGAAAAGTCCTTTTCCTTTTCTTTTCTTTCTTTTTCTCTTTCTTCCTTCTTTCTTTCTTTCTTTTTTTTTTTTTAAACAAGGTCTCAGTGTATAGCCCAGGCTGGCCTTGAACTCACAGTGATCCTACTGCCTCAGCCTCCTCAAGCCTTGGATTACAGGTGTCACCACCATGTCCAGCAGGAGTCCTTTCCTATTATTCTTATTGAAGTGAAATAATTGTTCCCATATATCTTAGGTGACTTCATGACTCTAAAATTCCCGCTTCTGTTGCTTTTTCAATGCAGTTGAAACCATGGGTCCCTCTTTCTCAGCTCTGCCTCACTTATGCACCTGTCTGGGTGACCATCTCCCTTGCACCTCTTCCATCCACTCACTTTGGGTTCTCCTTTCCTTCCAGTAGTGTCTCCTCAACATTAGGGTTTTGACTGGGAAAGTTCTGAGGGCTCCTAAGGGCCCCCTGTTCCAGCCACAGAAACTTCCTATTAGACAGGTGAATCCAACTGCTGAAAAGACTGGACAGAAAGGCTGGCACCGAGGCAAATCTCGGTCAAATAATTGGGTGACCAGGCAAAAAGACTGAGATGCTTCTGATGGAAACAGTATCCAGTATCATGAATTTAAAACAAAAGATGTAGGACTGGGGATTTAGCTCAGTGGTGCAGCGCCTGCCTCACAAGTGCAAGGTCCTGAGTTCTATCCCCCCGTACCAAACAAAACAAAATTAAACAAAAGACATAGAGTAACCTATTTGAGACACAAGGAAAAGAAAAACATGAAACAGCTATTTTATATCAAATCAAACAGACATCCACCACACTGTTCTGTCAGGGTGAAAACTCAAAGAATTGGGCCCAATTATTCTTCCTTTTTTTTTTTTTTGGTGAGGAAGTTGAGACTCATGGCAATCCTCCTGCATCAGCCTCCCAAGTACTAGGATTATAACCATGTGCCACCATGCCTGGCTGTCCCCAAGTTCTTGAGGAATCAACTGGAAAGACATCATATGAGCAAAGTGACACTCCCACAGCGTAAGAAATGTACCAACCAATTGTAAGTTATGAACCTGATTTGGGCCCCAATTCAAACAATTTTTAAAGTATGTGAGACAATTGGAGGGCTTTTTTTTTTTACCCTAATTAGATATGCTATTAAGGAATTTATGGTGTACTCATAACTGGGTTTGAGATATGTAAGATCACTTTACTAGGCAGGTGTAGTGGTGCACACCTGTAATCCCAGTAATTGGGAGGCTGAGGCAGGATTGCTGTGAGTTCAAGGCCAGCCTGAACTACACAGTGAGACTCTGTCTCAAAAACAAACAAACAAACAAATAAATAAGATCATTCTATTGTTTTCTACTTTCGTTTGTTTGGACTTTTTCTAGTGGAAAATATTTAAGATGCTTAATGTTATTTATGATTAAAGAACCTGGAAACAATAGAGAGATTGCTCAATAAAACATCAAATGGCCCTTAGGAGGAAATGCAGCATAACCACGAAAAGTTCTTTTTAATGGGGAATGCTCATATTAATATCCAGGCACAAATCAACCTGTGAAACCTGGTTGTGAATATGTGATATGTGAAACCTGCATATTCCGTATACTCTCAGATAAAAGACTGGAAAGAAAGTCACATAGTCGCTCAAGCATTCATTCACTCATTTAATGAGTCTTATGGTAAATTGGCTAGCCAGTCAATTATTCTATCAGTATTTACTTATTTATTGTGTGTGTGTGTGTGTGTGTGTGTGTGTGTGCATACACATGCATGTATGGTACAGGGGATGTAACCTCATGAATGTTATTCAAGAATTTTACAAAGAAGAGGAAGCAAGAGGGAGATGGGGGGGGGAGAAGGAGGAGGAGAAAGGGCCAGGCGTGGCAGCACACACATGTAATCAGCACTTGGGAGGATAAGGCAGGAGGATCACCATGTGTTTGAGGCCCGCCTGGGTGACATAGTAAACTCACTGCCAGCTTGAGCTATGAAGTGAGACCCTGTCTCAAAAAAACAAAAGAAAAGGGAGTTCACATCTTAAAAACATGCCTTGGGCCAAGGATTTAGCTCAGTGGTGCCAAAGCCTGCCTTGCAAGCACAAGGTCCCAAGTTCATCCAGTATCAAAACAAAACAACAACAACAAAAAACAAAAAAACATGCCCTTCAGGGAACAAAGAAAAAAGGAAAATAGGGCTGTGGCTGTACTCAGTTGGTACACTTGCATAGCATGTGTGATTCCCTGGGTTTGATCCCCAGTAGGGTAGATATAGATAGATAGATATAGATAGATAGATAGATAGATAGATAGATAGATAGATAGATAGATATCCCAACTCCCCATGATGAATGTAATCACTATGTACTGCAAACATGTACTAATAAAAAGAAAAGAATCCAGTAAGCCACATGCTGTCTTCCATTCTGGAGTTCTGGGTCTTCCCCTGCTGGTTGTGGGTTTTTTGTTTGTTTGGTTTTTTGTACTGGGGATTGAACTCCGGTCCTTGCGCTTGCAAGGCAGGTGGTGGAACCACAGAGCTAAATCCCCAGCTCTCGGTTGTGTTTTGAAATGGCATAAGTATGCATAATTTCCTTCTACACCAGGTCAGGTTCAGTTGACTGGGGAAGGGATAAGACAGTTCTAGTGTCACAGATCCTCTGACACTGACACTGCCCTTGAAATGAACCCCCTGTAACTAAGATTCCATCCTGCTGTACTCCATGCTGCTGATATAGAAAATAAGGTGAATGGGCTCAGTAGCTGCTGCTAAGATTCTAGGGCTGGTCACTATTGAGTCCTTTTTTTTTAAGATAGGGTCTCACTATATAGTTCTGGCTGGCCTGGAACTCACTATGTAGCCCAGGTTGGCCTTGAATTTGTGCTAATCCTCCTGCCCAGCCTCCCAAATGCTGGGATTACAGGTGTGCACTACCAGACCCAGTCTTCAGTGGGTCTTTGAGGCCTCGGCATCTGCCTTTTACAAGCTTTCTCAGTGATTCTGGCACCTGAAACTTTGAGGATCACAGCACACAATAAGACCTTGATCTAATAAGACCTTGCTTTTTTATTGAGGGGTCCCGCTGCATGGAGGGAAGTGCCAGTGTGTGACAAAAGTGACCATGGCCAAGAAGGAAACGAGCAGATGCCCAGGATTGAGGAGAAGGGATCCTCATCAAGCTACCAAGATAGAGCTGGGCTGTGGGGAGCACTCTGGGTCCTCACCTTTGTCAAGCAGCTTTTTTTTTTCTGTAGTGGGGATTGAACCCAGTGCCTTTGCACTGAGCTACATACCCAATCCCCCATCCACTTGTTAATTGTTTTTTTTTTGAGACAAGGCTTTGCTAAGACACTAATTTTCCCAGGCTGGGCTTGAACTTAGTCCTCCTGCCTCACCCTCCCAGAGTTCTGGGATTACAGATGTGTACCACCAAGCCGGTAAACAATTACTTACAACTAGGCCTTTGATATTTTGATATTTATTGATATCTCTGAGCCTTTGATATTTTGTAACTATTTGCTTGAAACACATTCTTTCAACTACTTTCTGTGATCAGTTCCTCTTTTCATTTTAATCACATGATGCTCACTATTAAATACATGTAACCAAGAAGAACAGAATATTTGGATAAAATCTGAACAAGGAAGAACAAATAGCATGTGAGTAAAACGGGTTTCCACTCCCCCAACCACTGGGGCTGGGTGGAACAAGGCAGCTTTCTGCAGAGTTCACTAATGCAAACTGTTCTTTAAAAGAACAGACATCCAACTTAATGAAAATAAAACGTGCTGCATGCCCCCAGCTACCACTACTTGTCACTTCCAAGGGGCTTGGCTGAAGTTGAGATCTCTCAGGGCCAAGAGTGAACCCTCGACATTGGCATCATGTGATCTGCATTCCCTGGCCGGCTCACAGCAGGGTCTGACCACGCTGACCCCTGTCCTCAACTTTGACCCATGTTCTTTCCGGAAGACAGGAAGGGGAAGCCTGACTCGTCAGCATGGTGCTGCTTCACCCTGCATCTGCTGTGAGCCCACACTCATTTTCAGATGCGGCAGCTTCCCTGTACTTCCTCTGTGCTTTCAAATCATTTAAGCAAAGTCCCCTCTGGCCATGGGCAGTACCGAGCACCTGTAGTCCCAGTCACTTGGGAGGCCGACCCAGGAGGATCATTTGAGCCCAGGGCTGGATACAGCAGGACCCCAGCACACACACACCAAAAAAAAGCAAAAACAAAAAAACCCACCAAAAGGCAAAATCCTCTCTCAGCACTGCTCTTTACAATGCACTTATTCATGCAATATTTATGTTTTCCCTCACACTCTGGCTAAAATCATGTGCATTCTGCCCCGGCAGATGCCCCCCAAATATCTACGAATGTCAGGTGTCCATGAATTTTTCATCACACATTTCTGGAGTGCCAACAAATTATGCATGCCAAATCTCATTTTTCTCTATATCAAAAAAGTGCTGTGTCAAATCAGGTACAGGGAGAAGAGAATCTTCTGCCCACACCCTGGAGTCTCCCCTGGAGCTTTTTACACTCAGGGCAAACACAAAGGACCACGGGAGAGGACACCAGCAGCCTCACTAGCATATGGCTGCTGAGCATTTCCCTCATTCCTGTCCCTGACCACAGGCAGCCTCTTGTCCTCACATGGATAAGCTCCAGGTGAAGACTGTGGGTTCAGAGCATCCACCCCCCACTCCCAGCTGTGTGACCTACATAAGCTTCTTAACCTCTCTGGGCCTCAGTTTCTCGATAAGCAAAGCAAGACTAGATTGTGGAGAGGGTTTAGCAAACATGTGCAGTACGAAGGTGAGTGGTCAGAAATTCAGACCTGGTTCTGTAGCTGAGGAGCAATTGGAGTTGGGCAGAGCCCCAGGGAAGGACCCTTCCTCCATAGACTCCTGTGCTGTGTGGGTGGGTGCTGACACGGAGCCGGGAGGAGGATGGTACCTCTGCAGCGGGGCCGCTCTGCTGTCCAGGTGCCATTGGGCAAACACGCAATGCTGCTGGGCCCGACCAGCCAGAAGCCAGGGTTGCAGGTGAAATGAACTTCGTGATCCACTAAGTATTTGCTTCCAAACTTTCTGCCATCTGGAGGGGCATTCAGAGGCGGGCAGGAAGCTGTGAGGAGAGAAGGGAGGATTAGGAGCCCTGCTGCAGGACCACAGCAGCTTCAGCATCTTGAGCGCCTACAGGTCTGCCCCATCATGGCCTCCAGTGCCGGCAGGACCAGAGGACCACACTCGTTGTCTCCTTTGGTTTCCTGGGCGGGCTGGGCCTCTACTCTTCTCTGCCTGCAGTGCTCTCTCCCCAGAAGCTCTCCTGGCTCCTCACTCTTCAGGTCTCCACTCAGATCCACCACTCCCAGTGTGTCCCTGACACCATGTCCAGCTGAGCCCTCCAGGACACCGCTTCCCCACAGCACACTTCCCTCTTAGTGTTAGCACTAAGTCCTTGGTGACTGAGTGGCCCCATGCTTGTGTCAGTTCTCTGAGTGCACCTGCCATGTCCCTAGCACCAGCCAAATGCCAGCACATAGTGATTGCTTGGTACACAATTCTTGAACAAGTGAATGCATGAAATATTATTTAATGAGTTCTTACTGTGTGCCAGGCACTGGATTAGGCATTTAAGATACATCAGTGAATGGGACAGGCCAAATCCAGTCCTCAAGAAGCCCAGAGGGTGACAGGCAGGTGGCCATGGCTCTGCCCCCATCTCCCTCCAGGGACAGACACAGCTGGATCCTTCATGGGGGGAATGGGGCCTGGAAAGGAGAGGTTGCCCAGGCAGGATTTAAACTCCCAATCCTCTACCTCAGCCTCCCAAAGTGTTGGGATTCCAGGTGTGCACCATTGTGCCTGACTTACATTTATTTTTTAAAACCACTATTTTATCATGTCAGAAAGGGTTTGAAATGCTTTGGGGAAAAAGGTGTAGGGTCTCTCTGGTGATGAAAAATCTTTAAAAACCTCACACAAAATAACTAACCTGCAGCTATCATATACATAGTAGGTGCTCAATAAAGATAGGTAGAATGAATGGATATAAATAACATAAAATAACTTTGCAATCATGTTCCCAAAAGAGAACTGTAGGCCCCTGCTCAGGCGAGGATTTACTCCAAGAGCATGTCCTGTGAGTTCTTGAGGCCACATAAGCTCCTTATGACTATATATATGTAAATCCTGATATGTCAACTTCTTTGCATTAAGAAACACCCAGCAGACTAGTACAGCACACACCTGGGTGTGTCTGGGTGGGTCTTGGAGGTGTGGCCTTGGGTACTAGGCCTTGTCCCTGCCCCTTCCTCTCTGGCACTGCTCCCCTACTCTGCTTCTTGGCTTCCATGGACTAAGCAGCTTTGCTCCACCAGCCCTTCCACAGTAAGTTTCCCACCAACCATATACCAAATCTCCTGAAACTGTGAGCCTTTCAGCTGTGGGTGTCAGGATCATGACTCCAAGGCAGGAGAGCTGACTGATACACTCCCTGCAGCTTCCTGAGTGAGGTCAACAAAGGGGATGAGGTTCCCTGGATGAACTTGAAACTGATCTGTTGTAAAGAAAGGAGGGGAATCCTGAGATATGGAAGAGGGACGATCCCACGGTATGGAAGCCAGAAAGAGAACAACCAAGAATCCTCTTGGATATGAAAGTATTCTTCCTAACCCCAGCAAATGCTGAGGAAGAGAGAAAGAAAGAAAGAAAGAAAGAAAGAGAGAGAGAGAGAGAGAAAGAAAGAAAGAGAGAGAAAGGGTGAGAGAGAGAAAGAGAGAGAGAGAAAGAAGGAAGGAAAGAAAGAAAGGCAAGGAAGAAAGAAAGAAAGAAAGAAAGAAAGAAAGAAAGAAAGAAAGAAAGAAAGAAAGAAAGAAAGAAAG